TTTTTAAAGTACATTGAAGATACAAGAAGAAAACTGGCCAGATTTGCAGATGGAGTTTTGTGATACTGTTGTGTATTTTTCACATGTTTCAGAGTCTTGTGGTAAACGACTGCTCACACACAGGTCTCAGCTCAGGAGCCTCTAGAGCGGAGCATCCCTGGCTTCAAGTCCTTTGTCAGATTTTCTCCTTTTAAGGTCCCCCAAAGTACATGAACTTCCTCCTTTCTCCGGTCTGAAGTTCTTCTCTCCTCTTGCTCCTGACTGACAATCCAACCAATCCCCGAATTCAGCAAAACAAAGGCCTTCACAAGCAAGAGGAACCCCTCCTCCTTCAGAAGCAGTTTTGTGAGTACTTTTTGTTCTTGCTTACTTTGAGGGCTTAATCCCCAGCCAAAGTGGCTTATCAAAGTAATTCTCCCAAACACACGCAGCGCCTTCCCTGAGAGAAACGCGGCTGAATAAAATTTTCTCCGTCTTGTTACACTTATTATTGGGAATTCCTTTGCACTTTGTTCAAAGAAGCCAGCCACTGAAACTTGATTTGGAGAACTCAAGCCCGTATTCAACAGTCCCTGAAAGGAGTGGTTAATTCTATTTGAGTTTCACTTCACAGCCCCATTCAAAACAGGTTGTGTGTATCTAAGAATAAATGGGGTTACCACACAAGAGGTTTATTATCAGAGCTAAGCTGCTGGAAGCAACTCCCTCTACTTAATACTGAGAGGAGGACAGAAAAAAGGGGGGGGGGCTACAGGCCTTTATGAATGCAGAGAGGAGGTGAAATAGGAAGAAGGGAATGGACAAAAAGAAGGAAAGGGGCGAAGGAGGGCCATTTGAAAGGCCACTGTCACCGTTCACATCATTCAATGCTCTTTGCTGCACCAGTTCAAAAGACGAAAACAGGACCCGTGCAAATCAGAATGGGCTCTGCTTTCTTCCCCTTCTCCCCTAAACCTTTTACCCTCCTTCACTATCATCATTTAGGCGTGGTCTCGGTTTTCACTTAGTTCGGTGACGCATTGAGGTTTTACTGCCTCCCGTAATTAAAAAGAGTGAACTCAGTCCCACAGACAAGAGGACTTGAACAGGGGCCAACATGCCTTACTTCTCTGCCCAGGGTAAGGATCTGATGTTAAAATTAGCCTGCCCCCCACCTTTCTTCATGACTTTTGTGAAATCCTCTGGGGTTTTGTTTTTTGTTTTGTTTTGATTTTGGGTTTTGATGTTTTATATTGGGGGGGTGTTAGTTTGGGTTTTGGTTTGGGTTTTTTTTTTTTTCCTTCTGCTCCAGATGAACAAAAACACCACAAAACGGGGGGACTGCTCTCTTGAAGGGAAAAGAGCCGATTTTGTCACCAACCCCCTGAAATACATGGCAGGTCTCATGTAGTCAAATGGCCATCCGACCCTGCACATCTTAAGAGTAAAGCACGGTGACTCCAGCCGAAGCCCTCTGGGTAAGAGTGCTCTTCTGAGGCTGTAATATCTCTGGATGAAAGTCAAGAAGTGAAACTCACTTTCGATCGAGGCCTGGATTAGAGCCAGACAAGGCCCACCAATTCAAGCTGCTTCCAACGAGAACTGGATTTATCCAGTTAGGAGAATTCACCCTCCCCTTGTCTGACTTCTGTGACTTCTTCCACGAAACGGCACAGAACCACTGGCAGTGGAGAGACGACCAGTTTTTACTACTTGTGCAAACTAAAACGACTTCTGCACGCCCCCCCCCACCGTTTCCCTTTAAATGGAAAAAAAGCAAGATGTCCACCACCTGCCCAAACAGCGTGTCCTGCCTTTTGCTGACTCTCCTTGCTTGCTTTACTCCTTATTTTTGCCAAAAATTTCCTCCAAGCAATTACATTTCTTGACCTGGAAAAAGTTGTAACTCTCTTTGTCGTTGGCATTTGATCACCCAAGTGGATTAATGTGGGCGTGTTAAATGGTTGGAAGGAGTTGCTTTCCCTGCCAAGTTCTCTCAATCATCCTTTTTCATTTCAGTCTCCCTCCCCACCTACATGTGGGTGGCGCACACATGTGTGCGTGTGTGCGTGTGTGCGTGCATGTGTGTGTGTGTGTCTGTGTGTGTGTGAGAGAGAGAGAGCGTTCCTTCACACACATTGGTGCCCTTTTTGCAGCCCATTCCTTTTCCAAACCTTGAATAAGCCCACGTGTGAAAGGAAAAGATAAGCAAATGTATGTAGCTTCATGTCTATCCAGTATGGGGAGACGTGGGAAGGGCCAGCTGTGTGTGTTTGTTTTCTATTTGGTCTGAGTAGAACAACTGATCCCCCTTCCCCGCCCCCGGGAGAAGAGGGGAATCTCTGATTTTAGGACTAAAAATTAAAGTTAGAGGAACTAAGGAGGGGGTAGTGTCTGGAAGTTGTCGTTCCCCCAAACCACATCTATGGGAGACCTCACCTGCAATGTATGTGTGCTGCTACTCCAAGATCCCCTTGATCTCCTAAGCATTAAGTCTGCACTCTCATTCCCTAAAGATTTCTAGCAGTAATAATGATAAATTCTTCGGAAGAGAAATTGTTTTAAATAAAGTCAATAAAGCTTTCGTACACCAGCCCTCTATATGAAGCTTCCAGGTATAGAGAAACGATGCACACGGTTACCTGTATGTCCCTGTAAGGTCACCAGATACTAGGACACTCCATCAGGAGCCTTGTTAACAGTCTAGGCAAATGAAAAATAGATTGTTGCCCTAAGTGCCAATTCTGACTAATTCCTAATGACTATCTCAACAACTGTCCTGAAAGGGTGCTAGAGCCCCATTCCGAGAACTTTCTGAGATCAATTAGTGATGTCTGTCTAAGAAGGGCAAGAGTGGCAGCACTGATCCTGCCTCTTATTTATTTTGGCAAGACTACTGCAAGGACTAACAGAGCCTTTACATCAACATTTCAGATTCTGGCAAGTCCAAAAGTCCTGTGTATTTTCTGAGAAAGGATATTTCAAGTGTTTGCCACTTGATATGCCGTGTTTCTGTTTGTAACAACTAGCCAGTCTCTCCAGGAACCCAAGAACCCGGCTGTGATCATTTCTTATATTAGCTCTCTAAATCTTTACAACAACACACTTAGGTGGATGGGTTCCCGTTTTCTTTAATCTATTGTTTTATTATGTGTGCATGGGTGTCTTGCCTGTGTGTATGCCTGTGCACCATGCATGTGCCTAGTGTCCATGCAGGCCAGGAGAGAGCATCAATTCCTCTGCAGCTGGAGTTATAGATGGTTGTAAGTCACCCTGTGGGTGCTGGGAATTGATCTTGGGTCCTCTACAAGAGCAGACAGTGCTCTGGACCGCTGAGCACTGCTCTGGAACCATGTTTACATTCCACAGATGACAAAATATAGGGTCAGAAATTGTCTGTGAATTGCCCAAGGTCTCACAGGCAATTTACAGGTGAACTCAAGAGCTTACCTTCAAGTGTTGGGAATATGGTACTCTCTATACTTGGATTTCAAAGCTACAGAGGCCAGGATGCTAAGAAGACACAATCCTGTTGTTTTAAGCCAACAAGTTTAGGCAATTTGTTACATCAGCTTTAGAAAAACAAACGAACAAACAAAGTAACCACATGTCAAACAATAATGTCCCCAAAACATTACAAAACAGAGGACTATCAGAGAAGCCTTAAATGCAAGCTCCAGATACCCTCCTGTCTCGGCCTCCCTAGCACTGGGATTACAAGCACAAGATACCCCACCCAGTGTTTAAGGGGGATCAAACTCTAGTCCTCCTGCTTGGCAAGCACTTCATTCCATTTTCATTTGGGGCTGGTGTCCTAGGAAAGTAATAAAATTGGCCATGTGTACTTTAAATGTGGGCATTAATGGTGGTGGGGAGAAAGAACTGGTTCAAACAAACAAACAAAAAAAAAGCTCTCCCTTTCAGGAAACCTCTTATTCATACAGCTTGACCTTAAGCTGGAGATTAGAGCATGGCTCAGAAGAATAGTGGTTCCATTTGCCTGAGCAGTCATGACCTGTTTCTTCTAATTGAGACACATACTCCACTCTGCATCACATGAAAAACAGAGAGACGTGAAGGAGGGGTGAAAAATGAAGCGCTTTTAAAATTACCTAATCCTATTTGTTTTGCTGCCCAGATGTTACCAGCCACTTGCACTTGGAACTTGATGTGGTAAATACCATCTATTTATTTTGTGCTGACAGACTGAAATTATTTGTAAGGCCATTTCTGTGATTAAAAGTCCAGGAAACTGCCATAAATTACCAGGCAGAATCATCCATTTGCAAATATCATAAATAAATACCATGATGTTACCCTTTTCCAGCAACCCTAGGAAGCAAGCGAACGGCTGACTCATCCCTCTTTGTTGAATGACACCTTCTACTCCCGCTGGAAGGACTGGACGTGTTCTCTGTGGAGAAGGAGACCTTTTCTTCTGCTGGAAAGTCTGAGTCTGTGTTCTAAAAGGAATGAGACCTTCTGCTTTGTCTGTAGGACTTGGTTCTATTCTCTACGGTAAATGATACCTTTATCCTAGCAGGAAGGTTTGGCTAATCCCTGCAGGGATTGGGAGCTTCCATTCTAGCTGAAGGGCCTGGTTGGTCTCTATAATGAGCCAGGCCTTCCACTTTTTCTGCAGGGCCAGGGTGCATGCCTATGTGCTTTACTGTGAGCAAAGCTGTCTACTTATGTTGGAGGCCCTGGTTGGTCTCTAAGAGTTGCCTAAAAAAATGCTGTAATGTTGTACCTTAAATATTAATAATCAAATACCAGTAGTCACTGTCTGGGCCCCAGTATTGATTCTCTTCCTGGAATTTCTAATCTTTACAAACTTTACTCTGACAGCAGACACTGAAAATAGGGTAGCTTCCCAGCTTCCACATTCACTGCTCAGATCATATACAGAAAGTAACTAAAATTCTCTGGGCTTTAGCTTCTATGTAAAGAGGAATAATGATACTGGATCCTCCACACAATTGTAAGTAAATTAATGAGTATATATAAATCATTTAAAATAGTGCTTAGGGACTCTCGTCGCGGCCGCGGAGACTAGAAGGAGGACTCCGGATCCGGCTCGGCTCTCGCCCTCACTTCGCCATGGAGAAGACCGAGCTGATCCAGAAGGCCAAGCTGGCCGAGCAGGCCGAGCGCTACGACGACATGGCCACCTGCATGAAAGCCGTGACGGAGCAGGGCGCTGAGCTGTCCAACGAGGAGCGCAACCTGCTGTCGGTGGCCTACAAGAACGTGGTCGGGGGCCGCCGGTCCGCCTGGAGGGTCATTTCGAGCATCGAGCAGAAGACCGACACCTCCGACAAGAAGTTGCAGCTGATCAAGGACTATCGGGAGAAAGTGGAGTCGGAGCTGAGGTCCATCTGCACCACGGTCCTGGAATTGTTGGATAAGTATTTAATAGCCAATGCAACTACTCCAGAGAGTAAGGTCTTCTATCTGAAGATGAAGGGAGATTATTTCCGGTATCTTGCTGAAGTAGCATGTGGCGATGATCGAAAACAAACGATAGATAATTCCCAAGGAGCCTACCAAGAGGCATTTGATATAAGCAAGAAAGAGATGCAGCCTACACATCCAATCCGCCTGGGTCTGGCCCTTAACTTTTCTGTATTTTACTATGAGATCCTTAATAATCCAGAGCTTGCCTGCACACTGGCTAAAACGGCTTTTGATGAGGCCATCGCAGAGCTTGATACACTGAATGAAGACTCCTACAAAGACAGCACCCTCATCATGCAGTTGCTTAGAGACAACTTAACATTATGGACATCGGACAGTGCAGGAGAAGAATGTGATGCAGCGGAGGGGGCCGAAAACTAAAGGCATCCACGGTGCTGTCCTTTGTCCCTCAAGAAAACCTTTTTACATCTCCATTCCTTATTTCACCTGGATTTCCTCTAGCAAGGAAGCCTATTCATGTGTATGGGATCAACTGTTTATAGTCTTTTCACACTGCAGCTTTGGGAAAACTCCATCCCCTGATTTGTGTTGTCTCGGCCTTCCTGGTGTGCAGTTACTGCTGTAGAAAAGTATCAATAGCTTCATTTCATATAAACGCGAGTAACTCCAGACACGTGTGTAGAGGACTGACAGTACATTGGGTATTTAAGTAATCTGAACCAGTTCTGCAAGTGGCTGTGTTTTGTATTACTGTGAAGATATGGAAATGTAGTGCATTACAATTTAAAGTAATTGTAATAATAACTCCCCGATTTCTACATTCCCTCTCTGACCCTTCTTTGGGGGTAATCCTTTCAGAAGCGACTTTTCCATACTCTTACTGCATATTCCTTTTTAGTAGGAATCCAGAAGTGTTGGGTTGAATGGGAAAGCTCTTAATGCATCCAGTCTTGGGGGTCACAGATTGAAATGTCTCCTATGTCACATATTCTGGAGGTTACGTCTGTGACAACAGGGAGTTTCATTTATGCATTCTTCATTTGCTGCTGTTTGAGTTGACAACTTCCTTCCCAATAAAAATTCACTTACACCTCC